TATATGTATGTATATTATTTTATTGTATTTGTTTGTTTATTTTTCAAAACAAAAAAAAAAAACAAAAGTTTATAAAATAGCAGAACTATTTACCTAGAAAATTATTTTATATAGGTTATAAATTGTGTGTGTGCAATATTGATATATGTGTGTGTGTGTGTGTGTGTGTGTGTACATTTTTTGTTGCTGTTAATGGAACTAAACAAAGCATTTAATAGAAAGGACCACAAATGTATTTATAGGCCTACAGTTTATAAACATTTTAACAAACTCAACAGTCAATCAAACGTTTCAGCTTTGACTAACAGCCAATGGGAAATCTAACTCCTCCCACTCCTGTTTGATCATTGTCCTGGAGTTGAAAAAACTATTTAAGATCCTCTGAAAAGAGAAAATGCAGCTACGTTTTCTACAGAGCATTAATATAAAGTTTAGTGTTTGTTTACTGATCAGAAAAGCATAAGTTTTGAAAATGGTAGATGCTTTCTGTGGCACATGGAAACTGGTCAGCAGTGAGAACTTTGATGAGTATATGAAAGCTCTAGGTAAGTTGTATCATAATATTATCAGTATTAATGCAGTTCATTATTTCTGATTTTTTCATTTATTATTACTGTAATTACAGACAGATCCCAAGGGTATTAAAACCCTGGTTTTAGTGAACAATGCATGATTTCAATGCATATGATTTTTTCTAAGGTGTTGGGTTTGCAACAAGACAAGTTGGAAATGTGACTAAACCGACCCTCATCATCTCGAATGAGGGAGACAAAGTGGTCCAAAAAACACAGAGTACTTTCAAGAACACCGAGATCTCATTCAAACTGGGCGAGGAGTTTGATGAGACCACCGTAGATGACCGACACTGTAAAGTATGTTTAGAAGAAAAATATGTTTCATAACATGATTTAATGGGAACCACAGGGAACAATACATTCCCATTTCAGAGCAGATGTGTTCTGTCTGAAGCTTTCTGTCTGAGATGAAAGCTTAGTGATGTGTTCTTTTTACCAGTCCACTGTGGTACTAGATGGATACCAGTTTGTTCATGTGCAGAAGTGGGATGGAAAAGAGACCACCTTTGTCCGGGAGATCAAGGACGGGAAGATGGTGATGGTAAGGCTCTTTACAGTACAGTATATTTTGAAGACTGTCCTTGTGAGGACATCTTGGACAATAAACTCAACTTACTCTATTCATAAAGTGTAGTTAATTACTTGCTGATTTCAATTTTATTTTAGAAACTCACCTTTGGGGACGTGGTGGCTGTGCGTACCTATGAAAAAGCATAAGTTTTGGGAATATTATGAGGATTTGTCCTTCTCCTTCACCAGGCAGCAACAGATACAATGTGCTTTGATGCTTTACGGAATGAAAAAAAAAAAAAAAAATGTTGCACTTAATTCCTCCAAATATATTAAAGCACGGACTACAAATATTTTTGATCCATTTTTTAAAAATACTTTTGAGTCAGTAGGCCTACGATTCATTTGAAATAAAGAACCAGACAAAAAGGTTGGCTTGTGTGTTCATTTATAAATGTACATGTATTGACAAAGTGAACTAAGTACTAAATATCAGGTTGAGGAAAAGTTGTTTTGTAATTTCACAATTTATTAATTTAAATTTCTGACATTTTACATTTATACGACATTAATGTAAAATATATTCTGTATATATATATTGTATAGTGTGTACTGTGTAGGCGATGGCATTATGACAGGCTTTTGATTGTTTTGATTTTGATGTCCAATCAGTGCGCGTGTCAGCAGAAGGTTGACCTGAAGTTGGCTTTAAGTTGTTTTAACAGATGCCTTGTCCTTTCTCCTACTGTACAGAGTCAGATTCTTATACATTTACAGTGATCCATCTTAAGGGCCTGTTGTTTTAGTTGACCTGGTTTGCAGTATATGCTCTGTTTGAGACTTTGAGACTTTTATTGGTTCAAAAAACAATGGAATATTTATCTCTTAACATCAAGGTGCATGTATTGATAGATTGTAATATACAGTCAAACTAAAAATTATTCAGATACCAGATACAATTTTTGATATTTTTTTACTAGTGGGTGCAGGACAGTATAGTTCATTTATGTAAGTGAGGATAGCAAAATAAAGTAAACTGTGACATATTATACCCAAAAATTCTTCATACAGTGGACTACCAGTAAAACTGATAAAAAATCTGGGACCACAAATTATTCAGACACTTTGACCTGACCAAGTGTTATCTGACATTATCAAGCTGAATTTGTTCTGACACAGTTTAACTCTGAGATCTTGTCATATTTTATTACCATTTTCTAAACTAGAGCGAATAAACTGTGATAATGTGTGAAATGTTGAAGGTGTCTGAATACATTTTGTTTTGACTGTATTTGAATATGAACATGTACGATGATGATGATTCTGCTGCATCATCCGATATATTATTGGGGGAAATAATTGTAAACATCTCGTAATATAGTTGTATATCTCAGACCTGCACTTGGATCCAACCTACCATGTCACAGAAGACCACACCAAAGTCTTCCTTGGATCAACAGCACTAAACAAAAATGATATATAATGTAAAGTTCAATAAAGTGTCCTTAATATACTGTAAAATCTAACATTCTAACAGCGCAAAATTACTCTTATACTCTTAATCAGGTTAATCTTCTCAAATTGAATGAAGTATAATGACAAATATAACCCTATTACTTAATTTACATTAAGAAGAGCATATAGGCATTTAACAAATGTGCAACTGTGCTGAAATGAGATTTAGTGAAATTAGATTTTCTGTGCTCAAGAAAAAAAATTAAAGATTATTTTCAGAATTTCACAACTTCAGAATTTTTCACAATTTAATG